GGAGGAGGACGCCGTAGCAAAGAGATTGCTCTTGCTGGAAACACGCGGCCCCTGGATCAGCCTGTTGGCTGATCGGGGTCGGTTGGCTGGACGCAGACAGCTTTCCCAGGATCTTTAGCGAATTCCTCCTCCCCTGAGCAGAGGTTTCCTGCCTGTGCGATGAGAGGCTAGGCCAGAACAATGGGAGAAATATTAGGTGAAAGCTTACTTCTTGCTAGGGTCTGAATTCAGCAGCCACGCGGTATTTACTCAAGCGGTGGTCTGGCCTCTTGTGAAGACCTTGAGGCCATGGCGTGGGCTTGGCCATCGTGTTTACTGAGTCATTTGGAGCGGCCTCATCAGTCTTTTTGAGTCAACGGTGGCTGAGCTGCTGTATAGCAAGACCTGCCTGCAGGGAGCGCTGCGGGCCCGCTCAACTCCCGCTGCCTGCCAGAAAGCACCCAGAGAATAGGCTAGATTTCACATTTTATTACGCAGGATGAGCTTTTCCAAACTTGAAGTTTTCTGTACAAAATGTGCAGCCGAGGGAAGTGACGTCATCTAGAAAACACCAGTTATCTGCACGGTGACTGGAGAGAGGGCTCTTTCTGAAATTCCTTGGTTTTGTAGATAAGAAAACAGATTCTAGCCGAGCGGTAGTGGCCCAAGTCCTTAATCCCAGCACTCTGAAGGCAGAGGATGGATCTCTGGGTTCGAGGCCAGCCTGGTCTACGGCACGAGTTCCAGGACATAAAGGAAGAAATAAAACAGGTTGTAAGAGTTGGGGAAAGAACAGGTTCAGTTTGGTGAATAAAGATTAAAAATAAGTGTCTGAGTTGCGGGACTCCTCAAAAATGGGGTTAGGATTGTTGGCTCTGTTTCTGAGAATCTGTGACAACGCGAAGGAGCTAAGTCAGGGTTGGTGGTGGTTTTGTCAGCTCAGGACCTTGTTCAAAAATGTCACACAATACCTGCTTAATGAGTAAGTGAATGAATGTGTGAGTAAGCTTTTGGTGGGTGTGTGGAGTGTCTTGTGTCCTTTAGCTTTAGTAAACCAATCGGAGCAAGGCTTCTTTCTACAAGATTTCCCTGGGCAGAAATTATGTTCTGCAATTGTGGACTGAAACTGGAAAACAATAGGAGATTTAAAAAAAAAAAAAGACACAAGGAGTGATAACTCATAGCCCCTGAAATGGTCACAACATAAGGTCATTATAATAAAGTAATCCAAGAATTTGATGGCACAAAATTAATTCATAAAAAAATAGATGAGAATCCCATTAGGTTCATGATCTGAGAAGATCCGAGGCTAAAGAAGTCTCAAAAACATTTCAAGTCTGATCTAGACGTGTCTTCAGGACTGCAATATGATTGAGGAATAAAAATAGCTTTGGCCAATCAGTGGCCTTAAAGCAGCTGATGCAACAGTCCAGAGAGTATGGCAACAGGAGGAAGAAGGAGACCTTGCCTGAACCAAAAATGCAGGGCATGGGGGAGGGGAGGAATGCATCCAACCAGTGTCACACCCCTCCCCATTCCTCACCGGGTTTGTAGCATCACTGCTGGGCTTCCAGTGCCTAGGCCAGCAACAGGCATACACTACACGGTCAAAATTAACTGTTAAATGAAAGAGGAAGGGAAAGAGCAGATTTCTCTGAGTAGAGGCAGCTCAGAGATTCTCCCCCACCTCCACACGGATTACTCTTGCTCAGATTCTAGCTGTCCTAGCCCTCTCCAAATGATACCTTCACCTTCCATAGAAGCCCTGTCACCACAATGAGCTGACACACTCATTATAGGCCACTTTACAGTTATGTTTCTTACTCCTAATTAATTTATCTGCTTTAGGCATCAATTACAAGTGCCAGCCTGCCTCTTAGACACATTCACATCCTTCTGTCATCACTGGTGTGGCAGTTTCTGCTATGGAGTCATACTGCCTTTGAACACTCTGCATATTATCAGGCCATGTGACCTCGGCCAGCACACCTCTTGAGAGCTTTGGTTTTGTCATCTGCCAAGTGGGGACATACAGCCTACTTAAGGAAGATGCATGCGGTGAGAGTTATACTGGGATAATGGATATGTGCTGGACTCTCATTGGTAGAGCTGAATAATTTTCAAAGCCTATATCTTCTCTGCCTTCATTCTACAGAAGCTGGATCACAAAAGATCATTCACTTTAGACTAGACTACTAGTGTCTTCTGATTTTCCTTCACAACATCATTGTCTTTGTAAGTGCAGCTTATAATCACATCTCTGAAGATCAGAAAGTCAAGTTCCTTTTATTTTTAGACAGGGTCCCCTGGGTGATCTGTCTCTGCCTCCTGAATGCTGGGTTTACAGGAATGTACTACTATGCCCATCTTTGTTAAAGGATTTTTTCCCCCCCAAGGCAGGGTTTCTCTGTGTATCTTTGGAGCCTGTCCTGGAACTAGCTCTTGTAGACCAGGTTGGGTCTTGAACTCACAGAGGTCTGCCTGCGTCTGCCTCCCAAGTGCTGGGATCAAAGCATGCGCCACCACTGCCCAGCTAAAGGATTATTCTTATGAAAACAGTTCATATTCATTTGAAAATAAGTAGTGGGGGCGATGGAGGGGTATTTCAACAGAGCTCTTTCTAGCATGTGTGAGACTCTGATTTGATCCCCAGCACAGAAAAAAAAGTATTAAATACACACGCCAGTGGGGTGAGAGATACAGACATAGACATGATTGCTGTCCACAGCTAAATGCAGCCAACAGAAGATGCTGTGTGCTCCAGACAATCAGTTTCACCTTTCTAAACGGAAGTGTCCTGGCTTGTGTGAGTGGCTGGTAACAGAGCCCATTAACTGGAGGGAAGCAGTAAGACTTGTAAACATGACATTGAAGTTCAGTGGGTTTGGAAGACAGGGCTAGGGAGAGGTGGAAGGTGTCGAGGACTGGGCAAGACGCCTTCCAGCAGAGCTGAAGAAGGCTTTTGGAGGAAGTGACATCTCGAAAGCCACAAACAGAATAAAGGCACTGAGTTCTCTACAGTACCTCAATGGGTAGAACTTTCAGAGAGGAGTATCGAAAAGTGGAAGCATCATGGGTGTGACAGATAAAACTGAAGAGTTAGGTTGAAACCTATCTTGGCAGGCCTTGAAGATCAACCTAGGGGTTTAGCTTCATTCTGTAGTTGATGAAATACCACTGGAATTTTTCTTTTACTCTGGCCATTAACATTATAGTCATTTTTGTTTGTGTGTCTGCGTGGTAATGGGACTCGGGATCCTAATGGAATCCTGTAACACTAAGGCCCATCTCCAGCCCACAGAGTATGTTTTTAAAATGAAAGCCGAATCTGATCTAGAGTTGTTTAGAAGAGAATTTAACCCACAGGGACATTTGGTGATCAAGGGTATGTGACTAGAAGGACATTGTGCGCAAAGCAGGAGGAAAATATGTCAAAATATGGATCCTGCCCCCAATGAGTTTCTAATCAAAAGTTTCATACAAGACAAATACACAGAAAATGATAATACAAGATAAAGTGTGAAAAGTATTGAAACGAAGAGAGGAGAGAAACGCCCAGCCCAAGTGCTTAGGAAGGGTGTGCAAACTGCCTTCTCCACAGAAGCTGGAAAAGCATTAGACCTAGTCAAAAGATCATTATTGGTATTATACATCTAAACTCAGACTATTTCAGAAGGGATCTGTAAGGACTAGTCAGCTTAGTCAGCTCTGTCCAGGACTGCTGGACCAGAGTAAAGAGAACTTAAATTGAAACAAAAAAACAGAGGCCTAAAGAAAAAAACTGAGCTGGACGTTGGTGGAGCACTCCTTTAATCCCAGCACTCGGGAGGCAGAGGCAGGCAGATCTCTGTGAGTTTGAGGCCAGCCTGGTCTCCAGAGAGAGAGTGCCAGGGGAAAAAAAAAGAAAGAAAGAAAAGAAAAGAGAAAAAACTGAAGGATGAGATTACTCGATGTGAATGGGTGAATCCAGTTTAAAGTGCTGGGGGTGGGGAGTGGGTTGGAAAAGCCAATCTCCTTGCAAAAGGAGAGGTGAGAACCAGAAGTGACAAGGGTGAGTGTCTAGAAAAAAGAGGGATAGAAACAGAAACTAAGGGAGCACCCATGTTTAGGGAGTGGAAGGGAAAGAGGAGTCAGAAGAGGAGTGGCCAGAGGGATATGTGAGAATAGACCCAGCCAAACAGCTAAGTTACAAAGTTTCCAGGAGTGCCTGGAGGGTGGAAGACTCGAGTGAAGGCATCTAGGCAGAGCAGAAGAGGGAAAATTGTAGCAATAAAGACTGAGATTAAATTTGAGATTACCAAAGGTTTTTTTTTTTTTTTTGCTGTTTTTTTTGTTTTTCGAGACAGGGTTTCTCTGTGTAGTTTAGGAGACTATCCTGGCACTCACTCTGGAGACCAGGCTGGCCTGGAACTCACAGAGATCCACCTGCCTCTGCCTCTGGAGTGCTGAGATTAAAGGCATGTGTCACCAACGCCCAGCCGACCAAAGGTGTTTTTCAAGGAGGGCTTTTCCAGTGCTTCTGACCGTGCAGATCTCTCAAGACCTGAGGGGACAAGGTGGTGGATCTTGGCCTTCAAATGTGCGGTATTTGATCTATAATTAGAACAACTGGATGTGTTAGGGCTATCTGCAACCTTAATCAGTCACTCCAGGAACTGGAAAGCTGAAGAACTTACTCGGAAGGGATTTCACACCTGGCTGTTTGGCCCAGCCCGGTGAAGTCCCATTTCATCACGCAGCCCTAATGACTCCCTGGGCTGTCACTCTCATCTGGTATTGCCAGAGGTCTGACTACCCCTTCTTGCAAAAGTTTGCAGCATCTGTGTGAGGTCAACTACAGCTCCCAGAGTTCCCAGGTGCTTCTCGATGCTGATTGGCGAGACGGTTGGCTCCGGAGGGGGGTGTCGGCCCCGCCTCCCCGGGAAACAGGCATCTGATTGGCTGCTCCGTGGGGCTCTTTTGTCCCCGCCCTCCTCCAGGGACCGCAGCGGGCTGACAGAGCCCGGCGAGCGCTGGCAGTTCTGCGGTGGGGATGCTGAGGAGCGCCGGCTTTGCGAGCAGCGCTGGCCACTGCGGACTTCCGAGGCACTCCGGGCCGTGAGAACCCCTGCTGCGTGACCAACCCCAGGCCTCCTAGGCCGGCCGCAGTTCCCCAAGCCGGGCTGGAAGGAGTGTCCGGCGTGGTAGCGCCGGTTCTCGGTATCCCGAGAGACACCCCGGGGTTCTCGAGCTTCCCCGGCGACCCCTAGCCCCGGCCTCCTGCGAGCGCTCGCCCCAGACCCCCTCGGGTGCCCCAGGCGCGGACGACCCGCGGCTGGGTCCTGGCGCACACCATGATCGTTGCGGACTCCGAGTGCCGTGCGGAGATCAAGGGCTACCTGCCGTTCGCCAGGGGCGGCGTCGCGGGCCCCGGGACCCGAGAGGTAAGCAGCAGTCGGGCGACACTGCTCTTCTCCAGCCACAGCAGAGCTTGGGGCTGTCCCGACCTAAGTCTGGAGCGGCCCCCGTGCTTAGGGTCTGGGAGCACGTAAGCCGGGACTAGGGTTGCATCAACTGCAGCCTCCTGTCTCTCTTCCCTCTCCTTGCCCTCCCCCCCCACCCAGCGGGGGAGGGGGCTGCGGAGCCCTCCCGGGGTCCTTCGGACTCCTGGCCAATGAGAAGGGACGCCTCCTCGTGGCTCCCCGGGTTTGTGCTCTGGTGGAGCGATCGTCTTCAAGTCCAGGCAAATCCCGGCCGGAGAGACCCGACCACTCCTCCTCCCCGCCCCCTTCCGCAGATTCCCTTCCTTTGGGTGGGGGCAGGCGAGCCCGGAGCTCTTTCTAGGATCGTTTTGTGCACCGATCGAGAAAGGAAGGGCCACCTGGGACTGGCCAGCAAAGATCGATTCCCCAGTCCCCACCTGCACCCCTGATCTGAAAATTGCCCAGAGTGCTTTAGGGGTTTGGTTGGCCGTTTGATCCTCGGCGGCAGCGGCTAGAGCTAGGGGAGAAAGCGGATAACCCTTGGTACACTCCCGAAGACTAACAAGTCTCGGGCTGCTCCCTTTTAAAATGTTCTAGGGTCCTCAAAGTTTGCTCGGAGACTAGAGGGACTTTGCAGGGAGGCAAGGTATAATGCTGTTTTAAAGCCCCCCCCTTTCCTTCCAGCAGCCTCGGCAATGAACGCTGTTTATTCTTTATGGAGCGCCTACTGTATGCCATGGTACAGGTTTTGTCTAAGACGGCAAATACAAGCTGTAGTGTAGCCCCATTTTACAGAATGAGAAAATTGAGAGCCTAAAGGGCTGAGAGAGAGGCTTCTTTCACTTAACCCTCATTCTTTGGCCTGTGTATGTGTAGGATTTTGGAGAATGCTTGATACGACAGAAGATATTGCTCTTTTTTTTTTTTTTCTAAGCCTAGAACAGTGGAAGGTGTATTGCCAGAGCTGGTGTATTGACAGACCAGTCTTGAGATGTGTGCATGACCCTAAGAAAATCCCTGTCCATGTCTGAGGAATGTCATTTCTGGAGGTTCTCCATCCAGTGGTCGATGGTTTCTTCGAATGATTTAGGAATCTGTGTAAAGAAACAACCCCACGGTTCTGCCTATTCTTTTCTGGTCACTTTTGTCTGTTTGCTTTGTGGACAATGTTGTCCATGAGAACACCTGAGCATTGGGGTGAGTGCTGGATTCTGATCCCACCCTCCACTTTCTTACTGGGTTATCTTGGTTAAGTGATCACTTGATTGCAGTCTCTTGCATAGGGATTTGATGGTATCTTTAAAAGATTATTGGAGAAATTAAAATACAAGCACAGGGCCTGATCTACAAGAGCTAGTTCCAGGACAGGCTCCAAAGCTACACAGAGAAACCCTGTCTCAAATAAACCAAAATAAATAAATAAATAATAATAATGCAAGCAAAGGCCTGAAGCTGTGTGCCTGGAACATATTTATTGCAGGGAACATGCCACTGCATTAAAATGCTAGCTTCTGTCACATTGGCTTAGCAGACATCCCCTCCCTACCCCGAGTGCCTCTCAAGAGACTTCCTGAGTCTATTCTCTGATGCCTGAGGGGGAGAGCCATTGCATGTCTTCTCTCCACAGTGCCTGGTAGGGAAGAAAATCTCAGGTGGTCAGGGAGATGGGGTGCCTTAGAGGAAGCCTCTTCCAATCCCACCATTTTGAGACAGGATCTCACTCTCTAGTACAGTCTCTTGCTGACCTTGTGACCATCTTCCCACCTCAGCCTCCTGAGTGCTGGGATTACAGGTGTCCCTCAACACTGCATTTAAGAAAGTCACTTTACAGTATTGGAGTAAGCTGGTAATGCTTGCAACATTCTATATCTTCTACTCCCTCAAGAAAAGACGATCTGCACACCTTTAATCCCAGCACTTGGGAGGCAAAGGCAGGTGGATCTCTGAATGCAAGGCCAGTCGGGGCTGCAGAGCCAGTTCCAGGACAACCAGGGCTACAAAGAGAAACTGTCTTCAAAAACCAAAATAGACAAATAAATAAATAAATAAATAAATAAATAAATAAATAAATAAAAGAGCCGGGCACTGGTGGTGCACAACTTTAATCCCAGCACTTCCAGAGGCAGAGACAGGTGGATCTCCATGAGTTCAAGGCCAGCCTGGTCTATAGAGCAAGTGCCAGGAGAGGCTCCAAAGCTATACAGAGAAACTCTGTCTTAAAAAAAATAAAAAATAAATAAATGAGAAAACATGTCCTTAAAGGTGTCTGCTTTAAGTAGAATCCTGCGAAGACAGGGTACCCATTTTCCAGAATGTAGTCCCCAAGACTGAGGAGGGCCAGATGGATAGTTCTTTCAGACCCACCTTCAGAGTGTCAAGCCTTCAGATATGCCTGTCTCCAAAAAATTCCAAGGGGCTGACTTTTGTGTTGGGTGGTATGTTTTCAAAACCATATTGGATTCTAGAATAGCTTCCTCAAAGAGTCACTTCCTCAGAAAAGCTTTTCTTTCCCCACCAGATACTGTTTCTGGTCCCTTCTCCATTGTGAGCTAGCTCCACATAAGCTGGGCCTTTCTGCCTTACTTTCCTGAACCAGTGACCCTGCAGGGCTCACCTTTCTCTGTGACTAAGTGCTTAACTAAACCCTTGTGGACTGTTGAGGCTCTGAAACCCCACATTCACTGTGCCAGGCCAGAGCTTTGGTCCCTTGTCTCTAAAGAGGGGACAACAAGTTCTGTTTTTCTCGGGGTGGCTGGGAGGAAATGAGGTGCTTGTGAGGTCAAACATGTAAGGATTTTAGCTTGGGGCCCCGTCCATTCTGTCTGCCTCTCTGCTGGTGCTGCTGCTATGTCTTCACCTCAGCCGGAAACCCGGGCTCCTATCTGGATTCAGCTGACAGATAGTGGGCAGTGCCAGACCTTCCCAGCTGGCAGAATGATTTAGCAGGGGTCTCTAGCTGAGTCCTGGGGCTGGCAGACTCCAGAGAACGAGAACAAAAGCTGGGCTACTCAGAGGGGCCAATGCAGCTAGTGAATAGTACTCTGAAAGTCAGTTTATGCTGGGTTTAAATGACCAGGTCTGGTGCCATTTCCAGAAATTTAGGTTAGAGTGGAAAGGGCCTTGGCCAGGCCAGGCATTTCTGGGCTCAAATTGCACTTTAAACACTTGTTAGTTGATTTTTAGACATTTAATTGACTCCCTTATGCAAAATAATCCCCACAACATAGAAACTGATAAGGATCAGATGTAAATGGAGCAGGAGCTCTTGGGTTTAACTCAAAAGTTACTGTCTAGCAAGCGCTTGAATTAGGAGCCTAGCTGTGTTCCCTGAGGCAGGTAGTCCTTTTTACCATTCAATGGTCTAAAGATCCCCTAGTGAGTCTTCCCAGTGAGCCGTGTGACTTCATTTTTCGTTGGCCCTCTGTTGCCTCATCTGACAAAATTTAGTGCTGGTAACTCCAGGCACGATGGCACACATCTGTAGTCCCAGAATTTAGGAGTTTTGCCCTGAGTTCAAAGTTGCAAAATTAGTTCCACCCCTGCCTCCCTGTGCTACAAAGTGAGACCTTGTCTCAAAACAACAAAACAATTTAGAACTAGTGTGGTGTAGAGGCATAAAAGTTGAAAGTTTTAATCCCGACTGGCTACATATCGAAACTTAGTCTCAAAAAATTAACTAAGCTAAATTCAAATTAAGCAAAAATTCAAGATTTTTGTTGTTGTAGTCACATGTCAAGTGTCTGGGCATGAAGAACCACTAGGGACCAGCATGTGTATGAGGCAGTGCAGACGCAAAACATTGCCCATGTAAAAAGTTCTATTCATACTCTTTTTTTTTTTTTTAATTTAGGAAAATGTCCCACAGACTTGCCTATGGGCCAATCTGGTAGAGACATTTTCTTCCTCTTTTTAAAAATAATTTATTATTTTTATTTCATGTGCATTTGTGTTTTGCTCCAGATATGTCTGTTTGAAGATGTCAGATCCCTTGAAACTGGAGTTACAGGCAATTATGAACTGCCATGAGGCTGCTGGGAATTGAACCTCAGGTCCTCTGGAAGAGCAACCAGTGCTCTTAACTGCTGAGCCATCTCTGCAG